GACCTTGTAGGCCTCCGTCTTCTGATACTGCTCCAGCTCTTTCATGTAACGCTCCTTATCTCTGTCTGCTTCGTCGAGGTAGCGCTAGGGCAGAAACACAGGATTACTTTCACAAAACCAAGGCTTTATTCAGGTAAAATACCAACGACCTATTTGAAGATAACAGAGGACAACTAGAACATGGGAAGAAAAGAATACAGGAAAATATGCTTTATGGGAAGATCAGAAAAACAAGCCACATGAATAAGATGAAACTTCTCAATTATAAAAGAAATAGGTGGTTCTGACTTTTTAAATGACTCTTTGCCTTTTCTAACTTAATAAAGACAAGTTCTACTAAGAGCATGCTCATAAAAAATTCACGAGGATGATTACGGTTATTCCTCCACCCTGCACAGAGCAGCACGCGGCCCCTGGGGTCCCCGTGAGGCCGCGCTGCACAGGCACACGCGGGCCCTCCCAGGGGAAGGCGTGGGCTATCACTTTGTTTCTCTATCTCCAGCTCATTTTGAGGGAGTGATCTCATACATCAACGAGCCTTTTAAGAGCCTGAAGAGTGGAGTGCTAGAGCCGGGAGACACAAAGAACGTGCAATGAATGACCTCATCCTATGGACCTAAAAATGGAGAGAGCCTTGATCTACAAGCTTTGATTGCTTTGTGCTATTAATTATTCAAACAAAGTTCATTGATCTACCAGGGTTATTTTGTTTAGTGCTTTGTCCTTTTCATTCAATGACCTGGGGATAAGAAAGTACAAAAATATTGCTTCTCAATGACCACAACATGGGAAATTAAGTCCCATGTAAGAGCCAGATGTAGGGGACACACAACTGTCCATGTACGGGACAACTCAAACACAGAAGTAATTCAGTTCAGTAGTAAATTATACACCATGAGAAAAAAACTGAAAGCAGTAACACCATACAATAGATACCATATTGGGTTGTCGGGAAAGTCGTGACACGTTAATGCAAAAATGTGTCACGACTTTCCCGACAACCCAATGGGTAGCTATGATCGATATTTATTATACCAATAATAAACAAATAAATAAAGACATAAATGAGGGGAGAGGCAGAGGAGGGTCCTGGCTTAAATCAGAATGCTAAGGGCCAAATCAGAATTGGAAATGGCATCATTTTGCAACCGTAATTATGAAGAGGCCAAAATCTGAGATGGATGTTAAGTCTAGGGGGAAACGTCGATGTGGGACAGGCAGTCCTCCCCAGTGGAGGAAACATCGATGTGGAACAGGCACTTCCCAGCGATGAGGCATGACTGCGAAGGGCTGGGGAGGAATCGGGGGCAGCGGTGTGGGGAGCGAGGCCAGAGGGAAGCTGACTAGCAGAAATAAGCTGCACGCTGAGGGAGGAACCGTTTCCAGGCCGTGTGATACCGTGGGGAGGGCACGGTCGGCAACAGCTTGCTGTGCCTCTCCAGGTAACTAAGCACAGGGAACATCCGGAACGTTCCCAGAGCGAGCCAAGACCATGGCGAGAAGGCAGGTGTGCGGATTATCACGAGTGAGGCAGTGCGCACCGTACGGCCGTGCTGCGGCGTCACACCGTGTGCCCCACAAACCAGCGCCATTTTTGTACCTTTACAAATGTCTTTTTTTTTTTTTTGAGAGATTTTCATTGTAGGGCGCGTGCGCTCGCCAGAGAGAGACATAGAGACAGAAAGCGAGAAATCACCCCCCAGGGGGGATGGTCACGCCGCAATCCCTTCTCCTCCATTCTCCTCCCGGGATCTTGGGCACGCACGCACACGCGCCCGGCGTGAGTTTTAAGCCACCAGGTCCGGGACATGAACCGCGGTCGACTATGTGGGAGTCCAGCGACATAGCCATTACGCCAACCGCTGGTTCCCTACAAATGTCTTTTTAAAAAAGGTCTTCTTACAAACTGCTTTTTCATTATGGGGCAGAATGAAAAATGTACCTGGTGAGCAAAATGAACCCTTCTGACGGTGCCCTGAGGTGGGCGCGCCACTGCTCACGTGGTATTCTGACCGAGGACGCACAATCGCGACCTAATCTCGGGGAAATGCCAGAAGAGTACAAAAGGAGGACTGCTCTGCTGAAAGTAAAAGGAAGGGTGGGGTGGGGAGAGAGGGTTGTACTCTTTAAAAATATCAGTGTTATCAAAGGCAAGAAAAAGGCCATGGAAATATCCCAGCTTAAAGGAAAGGCCATGGAAATATTTCAGCTCAAGGGAGGTCACCGCTAAACACAATATCTGACCCTAGACTGGAATGAGCACTGCAGGAGAAAAGTGTACGGCATGATGTCAGGTCAATAGCTGGACAGTAGATTAGGTAACAATATCGTGTTAACAAAAATCACCAAGTTGATAATTATGCTACAGTTACGTAAGACAGTGCCTCCGATCTTAGGAAACACATGCTGAAATAAGAGGTAAGGGCCATGATGTACGTAACTTACCCTTAAATGGTTAAAAAATCGCATGTGTGTGTCTGTGCTGCATGCGTGCATACGTACTAACTTACCCTTAAATGGTTAAAAAATCCTGTGTGTCTGTGCTGCATGCGTGCATACGTACATGTGTGCGAGAGTGAAAGGCTGAGCGTGTGCGACTGTGACTACACATGCAAGGAGGGAATCGGGTAACACGTGCTCACATGGAACATCTGGTGAAGGGGATGTGGATGCTCTCTGTACTAGTTTTATGTTTGTTACTTTTTGTTATTTAAAACTCTTCTCAATAAGTTAAATAAATGAAAGTAAACACAAAACCCTTGTCCTCCATAACTAACAGTGGTTATCCCTGGAGATGATGCCGGCTACTTTTGATTTTTTTGTTCATACTCTACTTACTGGCTGAAAAAAAATCAGAACAAAAGGCATGCATTAATTTTGTAATAAAAAGAAAGAAAAAGAAAAAAGCACCCTCCTCCGTGGAGCTCACCACCCCTTTGTCCAGGAGAGCCAGGACAGACGCCATAAACCGCTTTTCCTTAGCTTGCTACCCCACACAGAATTCAACTTGCAACTTAATATGATCTCCAAAAGTGCTCGGATTCAGTTCATTCCCCAGAGTATCTTTCAATTCGGTTTTAGTCTCATTGGAATTCTTTTGAAAGAGTGGAAGTCATAAAAGAGTTTGAGACATAAAGAAATACAGGTATCTTTTATTAATAGACGCTGGGAATGCCGGAACTTTTAACCCAAAGCCACTCCCACATCATTGTGATCACTCGGCTCCACTGGCATTTCAACCAGTCATGGCTATCTTGTCCTTAATTCCCCTCAGATCTCTCTAACAAATGGACTGGTTTCCATTTGGCAATAGGGTTACTTTCTGTCTTGGCAGAGAGAGAATTCAAGTAGGTTTTTTGCTTTATTTTCCATAGTAGATTAAATATGCCAGAACTCTAGTTAAAAAAACTATTAAGAGAAGTAAAATCTATTTCTTAAACAATAATCTTGGCCCAGACAATAGTGGCACAAGTGGTAGGGTGCTGGTGCATGAGGCTGGGGCTGCACTGAAGGTCCTAGGTTTGGTTCCTGGACCAACCTGACACTGGTCAGGTGTGGCAGTGAGTGCCTGAAGTTCTAGCTAACTGGGAGGCTGGGACAGAGAACAGCAATGGTGACTCTGTTAAAAGCATCTTTCTTTCCCTCCTCTTCCTATACTCCTGTACACATGTACACAGGTACTCCCTCATAAATTTAAAAAAAAAATTGTGAACTGCCGAATTTTATCAGATAATTTCCTTCTCATTTAATTCATGGCTTTTCATTTAACTCGGGTAGAGTAAATGAAAAGATTTCTTAATTTCTTAATATCGAACCACTTTAAAAAATCTTTGAACTTGGCATAGGAATAAAATAAAAGCAGAGCTTTTTTTGGTTAAGGGGAGTACTCCCTCCTGCTCACACGCTTGCAGTAGACCCTGGGACAGTTTAAAAACCACTGGACTGGGGAAAAGAGCTATGACGGACCCTGCTACCCTGGCCTCCTAGGTACTCTGACAAAACTGAAGAGCTGACTGTCCATCCTCTTCGCTTTTCTTACAGAAGGTGTTTTGAGATATAATCAAAAGCAAGCACGGCCTAGCTGAGGGAATGCAGCTGCTACTCAGCAGGCTGAGGCCACATGGGAAGGGTAGAATTGAGTCCTGGGCAACCTGAAGAGTGAGGCCTGTGCATGGAGTCCCAGCCACTCGGGAGGCTGAGGCAGGGGGATCAAGATACAAGCAAGACTCTATACAGAAGGTGGTTTCTCAGTTCCCCATCTCTGGCAAAAACTAAAAACAAATACATAAAGACTGTCCCATGCTATAAAATAAAATAAAATAAAATAAAATAAAATAAAATAAAATAAAATAAGAGGGGCCAGCAGGTGGTGTGGTGGTTAAGATAGTGGGTTCCCACATGGCTGATCAGGGTTTGCATCCTGGACCTGATGGCTTGAAAATCACACTGGGAGAAGCCAGCGTGGTGGTTAGGGCTCTGGACTCCCACATGGCTGACCGTAGTTCGAGTCCCAGACCTAGTGGCTTGTTTTCTCACTTTCCCTCTCTCTCTCTGTGTCTTTCTCTGCTCAAATTAAAATAAATGAATAAATTATTTTAAAAAGAAAAAGAAAAAGAATTCAAGCTGGGTGCTTGTACATGCATGCCCAAAATCCAGAGAGGAGAATGAAGAGAAAGAACTGCAGTGTGGCCATCCCCCTGGGCAGTGATTTCTCACTTTCTCTCTCCGTCTCTCTCCTCCCTGGTAAGCATATGCGCTCTCAGGCAAAAACCTAAAAATAAATAAATAGAGAAGAGAGATGCCCTCCTCCAGTGTGGTGGCATCTGGGGAGGGACGGAGGACAGAAGAGAGGTATTACCTGCTCTTGCAGGTGGGATATGCTAGAAGGTCTAGGTTTGGCACTGTCCTGCAGGTGCCATTTGCATTTCAGCAGG